AAAATTTACAATTCACATTTTCGTTCGTGGAATTGTAACATGCGATCTGTGACTTTACCTCGATGAATTAAGGTTGAAATGTGGAGTTTGACTGTAAATGAGCCGTGCGAGGGTGTAACAAGCGCGGAGGTTGAGTCGTCGTTGGAAAATGAGTTTCCTCGCGGCCTGGCGGCGGGAGGTAATCGCTTGCTTGAGGAGTGGCTTCACTAGAGACTCAATCAGTTTCCATAACACAGGACAAAATTAAAAGCATTTATTTTAATCTAGCGACCCAACCCGGGAACGTAATCGCTTTTTGTATGAAAATTTACAGCTTAAGGGGAAATATAATCTCAAATGGCTTAGCAAGATCCTTCGTTATGCCGAAAATATTGCAGCATTAATTTTGAAATAAATATAATATGGTAAAGTTGAAGATTAATATTAAGGATTATGTTAGACGAAAACACGATTTCGTAAAATTTTCTCGATAGAAAAAAAAATCCAAAGTTACCTCCAAAATAAACAATAAACCGCTGTTATTCATAAAATACTTTAAATAAGATCATGAAACTTTGCATACTAACTGAACTAACTATAAAGCAGTGCTTATGTTATTTACTTTTTTTAAATACCATTATTTTCACTATAAAAAGAAATTACCTATCGGCCTCTTGAACCGTGATTCCTACCGTCCGGTCACTTCGCTTCGGCCTTTGAAGAGAGAGATTGTGTCGCTTACGATCAGAATATACATTACGCAACAGGACGACGTAAAATTAAAATGGGAAATAACCGTAATAAAAATAAGAAGCGACTAGCTTGGCGTTAAGAAACAGGCGTAAATATGATAAACCTAATGAAATAAGTGTCTGACGACCTTTCTACTTACAGTGTTACTGATTACAAACATGTCGGTACATAGCATACGACGCGCGGGCAAGGGGGGACGAAATTAGAATTTGAGCTGACTTACTCTATCCCCTTAACAAGCCTCCAAACAGAAGCCAGTTATATATTAAAGAAGAACAGTCCAATTTCTTTTATATATGTGTATGATATTGATTAATCCATTTGGTATCAAGCCTATATAGCATATTAGCCTATACAGTCCAAATTAAAACAGGATTATATGCCCAGTAATAACTAACTAATATTAACCGTCATTTTTTATTGGATACGGTGACAAACGAGCACACAGTTCACCTGAAGATAAGTGGTTGCTGTGACCCATAGACATATATATCTATCATCGATTACGAATAAAAATGCAGATACGTTGTCACCCGTGAGGACTAAGATGGAATGCCTCGTTTCCAGTAAAAAGGGTCATCAGTTCTCACTCACTATACGAAACAGAGCAACATTAAGCTACTATTTTACGCTGGCATTCCGTGAGAGCGTGGTCCTTCCCCGGTCGAGTCGACCCATTCGTGCTACAACTATGCAACTAATATAACTACAGCATGCTTCTACCACGTAGGTATTACTTCATTTACGATAGTAATAAGTGATCATAGTACTTAGTTCTTCTCACTTAAACTCATGCGTATATCTTAAACAAGTCTCAAATTAAGTAATGTATTGAGGCCGAATTTCAGTCACGTTGGTTAGTCTCAAAATATTCTAGCCGTCTGCGTATGACAGGATTATAGTACACGAGCTAGTGCGCAAACCATGATGTACTTTCTACTCCCTCTTTTTCATAGTCCGATGGGTGGGAAATCCGATATGACCGTTACGTGTTTTCTGAGGCACAGGGATTAAATACCCTCCAGTTCTTGGCTCTGGGCTGCTATTGAAAATTTCTTGACGTAAAAACTTACTTTTTCAAAGACCGAAAATAGTAAGTTTTTTATGTCTAGGATCCGACACAGGATGGTAACCTGGACCATATAATCAGTAGTTACGTTTACGACGCTCGTATAAGACGCTCGAGGCGGACTATCTCATATGCCATAGTTACATTCCAAACGTGGTAGAGACACGCTGCAGCTATATTATAGTTATAGTCCGAATGAGTCGGCTAGAGCGGGGTAGGACCACGCTCTCACAGAATACCAGCGTAATACTGTTGTATTTCGTTTGATGAGTGTAGAGAACCGGAGACCTTTTTACTGGAATTGAGGCATTCCATCATTGTCCTCACGGGTGACAACGTATTTGAATTTTTATTCTTAATTGAGTATAAATGTGGATGGTGGATTTTTTGCTCGTATGTCGCCGTTATTCTAGACTGATAGAAAACATGTTAAATAGATCAGTCTTTGTACTTTTTGTGTAACAAAGTTTAAATCACCATTCATCATCATAATAGCCACAGTCCACTGCCGAACATAGACATCCCCCAATAATGCCACAAAGCACGGTCCTGAGCCACCTGCATTAAAGTTAAAATACAGAAATAAATCAATGCGACACATCAGTAGGCAGCTCAGTAATAATATACAATCTGGTCAGGCAAGAGACAGCCTGTCACCCTCGGTTAAATAAAAAAAAATTTAATTTAGATTTAAAAAACAAATTATACCATAAACATGTTTAAGTAAGTGCTAATAAATACAGATGTGTTGTCACCCGACGCGCAGTACGTCTGATAAGGCCGCGAGATCTTGCGACAGCCTTTGATTGTTTTTCCGCGACTCGGCGGCGATCGAGCGGCGTTTTTGTGGCGTTTTTGCAGCGGCCACCTTGGTAAGGACGAGTGAATGTCTCTGTCCTAAAATTACACAAGGTACACAAGTGATCCAATAGTATGTCATTTGCGGTAACTTCTTATATAGTGCCACCGACTTTACTGCTCAATTGACAGAGTCGCTTTAGGTGAGCTTTTTTTTTTTTTTATTCTTAGAAAAAAGGGCTTTGTCGCTGAAGCGATTATGACGCCCTGGTACAAGAAAATTCTTAAATAGGATAAATACTAACAACTATATAAACTTATTAATTACTTAATCTCTTATTTACTAACACATAAAGTTTTTGGCATCTTCTGATAACGGGTCTGATAAAATAATATTAATACTGCCAATCAATGATAAATGTATATTACAATTTTTTCTTTCTCCAGAGTTCTGGACACATTCTATCAATATGTGATAAACATCATCGATAATGTTGCAAGTTGAACAGTTTGGTGAGGTAGTTTTTCGCATCAAGTATGAAAATTTATTGCATGGAATGTGCCCAGATCTGAGTCTTAATGCTGTTACAGTGTCGCGTCTACACAATATTCGGTTATCTATCCAGGTTGAGCGCATTGGAAACGGCTGGATCGTACGGTACCATATACCCTTCTCTTTTGCTCTTATATCAAAATATTCCTTCCAAAGGTCATAACAATTTTTTTTAATAACGGTATATAGTTTTGAAATGAAGGGGTAATATTAATATCAGTGCCTTCCGAAATAGCTTGTTTGGCCAAAATATCAGCTTTTTCATTACCCTCTAAGCCAATGTGCGAAGGTATCCATTGTAAATGTACTATTATGGAGTCAGACTGCAACTTAACTAGAAGCTTCAAAATCGCATATGCTACTGGTAAGCCTCGAAAAACCGAAGTACACCGAGCAAGGTGTTGAAGCGCACTCCTTGAATCTGTTAAAATAACCACATTGTTATAGTTACATGATTGTATATAGCATTGAGTTATACAAGACATGTATGTGTATGTAACATATAAATCAATGGTATATAGGATAAAGCTTCATAGATTGCTGCAAGTTCAACTTCCATAATAGAAATATTAGTATTAATTTTTAACTTTATTGCCATATCATTTAATATATCGTAAAATGAAGCCCCGTTTCCGAAATTATCTTTCGAACCATCTGTAAATATCCTCAGATAATTCGGGTAATGTTCGTTTAGGTAATTAATACACATGTTTTTTATGGTCAATACATGGTACTGATGTTTAGGGTTTAGAACTCCGTCTATATTTGGTCTTAAAATATCTGAAAGGTTTAAACTAGTGATCCACTGATCCAGAGAAAACATACCTAACTGTGAGCTTGAGTATATAAAAAGTGATTTGAAGTTGTCATGGATTATTGTTAATAATGGTTCGTACGTGTATCGTTGCGCGCACGGTTATTATCGGCTTAGGAATTTGTTACCTGCGTTTACGGCTTGGCCAAGCGGGGCCGGCCGTTCAGTTGAACAATAATGGAGGCTGATCGTCTTTCTACTGAGTCAGCGGGGGAAGAACCAATACTAGAGGAAATGTCTGATCTTTTGGAACAGCATATAAACTACGAATCTAGCCAAATATTGGGCAAAAGAGGTAGGAATACTTCGCCTTCGGACCTTCAAATCGAACAAAAAAAAGCTAAAGGATGTGAGCAAGAAGGAGACTGGGAAGAAGTGAAAAGCAGAAAAGAGAAATCTAAAGAAATAAGAGGTAGCATTGAAATATGTATAACGTCTAAAGAGAAGTTCCCGAAACAGTTTGCCCTTGCCAAGTTATTTAAAAATCAGAAGCTAAACATTGTGCGAGTAAAATATATCAATTCATACAAAATAATTCTAGAGCTATACGGGGAGAAAGATGCTGATTTATTGATACAGTGTGATCATCTCATCACCAATATGGTGTAATTAAGAACATCGAATTAGATCTATCAGAAAAAGAACTGTTAGAATCTTTTTCTTGCTCAATTGAGGTGGCCAACGTGAAACGACTCAAACGCAGAAAGCGGGCGGATGGAGAATCTGGCTGGACTGAAAGTGAATCGGTACGAGCTGGTTTCATAGGGTCTACGTTACCATCGTATCTGTGCATATATGACATGCAAGTTAAGGTGGAGCCATACCTATTTCCTGTTACTCAGTGTTCGAGATGCTGGCGCTTTGGGCACACCCTTAGAATGTGTCCTTCAAAACGTATATACTGCCCCAAATGTGGAGGTAAGCATGAAAATTGCGAAACAACAATATTTAAGTGTATTAATTGTACGAAAAATCACATGGCATTGAATCGTCAGTGTCCAAAATATATAAAGGAGAAGAAGTTACGGGAAATAATGGCTGAATTTAATGTTTCATACAGGAAGGCTATGGCAATGTATGTACCGCCCGAAACACCTACTTATGTGCCAACTCAATCGCCAATGCCCCGTTTAGGTAATTTAAATAAGATGCCTCAATTGCCGGAACCTATCCCAGGAACCACAAATAAGTTTTTTAGCAATATTTTGCCGGTTCAGGAGAATTCTACACCAGTTACTTACGCACAGGCCGTGTCATCGAGCCCCATTAACAAGAACAAACTGGACAGTCGGGGAGAAAAATCTGTTCGAAATGACACAACTAAGAAGATTAAGAAGAGAATTCAAGAACCTAATTTAGAAGAGTATATACATGACGGCAATATGTCGACAGAGTCTGAAAGTAGTGTATGTGATCAACCAGTGTCTGAACAAAACAAAAAAAAGAATCGTAATGTACAATCTGATATTCCTTTCTTTAATTTATTAAGCCAACTTAAAAGTTTTATCTCTAATGAGAGTAATGAGCCTTTAAAAAGTAGAATCGAGAATGTAGTGCACTTATTTTTTGAATGGATAATCACATGGATATTTAAAAATATCTCGAACTTGTCTTTTTTACAAAATTTACTCGGTAATAATAGGTAAAGACAGCCTTAACATTTTGCAATGGAATGCTCAAAGTATTAAATCAAAGTGTGCGGAATTTGAACAACTCTTGTGTCAGGAGAAAATTCATATCGCCGCGCTCTCGGAAACATGGTTGAATCCTGATATAACACTTAAATTTAGAGAATATAACGTATTTAGACTTGATAGGGCGGACTCTTATGGCGGAGTGGCTTTAATAGTACACAAATCTCTCTCGGCTCAGTTGCTTCCACTGCGAAGTGCCAACGAGGTTATTGAGGTGATATCCGTTAAAATTTCTAATTGTGAAATTGTTGAACATATAATTTCTCTATATTGCTCGCCTAGTGCTCGAACTTCATGTAGTGATTGGGATTCAATATTTTCGTTTTCTGATAAAAAGACTCTAATACTTGGAGATTTTAATGGACATCACCCTAATTGGTCGAATAAAACCGATTCTAGGGGCACGCAAATTCTGGACTCATTAGAAGACCATAATTTTGTTTCTATAAACGATGGCAGGCCTACGCGATTAAAATTAGTTGGCGGTATCTTACAACAGTCAGCTCCCGACATTACATTTATATCATCTGATATCGCTTTTAAGTTTAATTGGAATGTTACAAACGAGTGTTTAGGTAGTGACCACCTAATAATTAAGATTTCATCATCTATGAATCATTCTCCTATTATTCATAAAAGACGAAACTTTAAAAAAGCTGACTGGGTGAAGTATCGTCAGGTAATGGAAGAAGAGTGCGCTCATTTCGAAATTTCAAGTAATCCACAAGAAGCCTATGATGATTTTATCACTTTGTTGTTCAAAGCCGCAGAAGCAAGTATTCCATTTATTAAAATATGCCTAAATCGCAAGGCTAATTTTATTCCTAAGCCATATTGGACTCCTGATCTATCTCACGCTGTTGCAGAGAGACGGCTAGCACTTAAAACATTTAGACAGAATCCCACACCGGCTAATTTAAATAGATTGCAGGAAAAAACTCGCAAGGCTCAAAAACTAATTAGAAACGCTAAAAGTAAAGGATGGTGGGAATTTTGTACGTCCTTGAATGAAATATCTTCAGCTTCTGAAATGTGGAGAAAAATGCAGTGGTTAAAAGGTTATATCAGCTAAAACACAAATTTAAAAAAGTATTGCTGAGTCATTATTGTGCAACTTAACCCCTGACTATGTAAGTCAACCCTACCCAGGTTACACATCTCAAAATCCTAAATTAGAAACCGAAATATCTAGATCGGAGCTTTATAAATGTTTAAAATCTAAAGACACGTGCCCGGGCACAGATGATATCTCTTATTCAATGTTACTTAATTTACCTATAGTGGGCCAAAACGTTTTACTCAATCTTTATAATATATTTTTTACACAAAGCTTTGCTCCATACCAATGGCGACAGGTTCGCATTATACCTATACCTAAGTCGGGTAGGAACACTAGTTGTACTTCATCTCTTAGACCTATTTCTCTTATTTCATGCTTATGTAAAGTATTTCATGCCATTATCAATAACCGTATAGAGTGGTATATTGAAAACAAAAAACTACTTTCTGAGGAAACTAAAGGATTCAGAAAATCACGTTCCTGTCACGATAATTTAACCGATTTAGTTACAAGCATTCAAATAGGTTTTACAAAAAATCTTTTTTACAGTAGCATGCTTTTTAGACCTAGAAAACGCATATAATAATGTAGACATAAATTATCTTTTATCGACCCTCGATCGCCTTAATGTTGGCGCAAAATTTTGCAACTATCTCTGGACTTATTTAAGCCAAAGATTTTTAATAATTGAAGGGATAGATTATAAAATAACTAGAAGTACAGGTCGCGGTCTAGCACAAGGAGATCCACTTTCTCCGCTATTATTTAACATAGCTACAATAGATATATGTAAGTCTATAATTTCCAAAACACATCTTAATATCTCCCAGTATGCTGACGATTATGTCATATTTATAACTTCTAAAAACTTGAAAGAGGCGGAAAATCAACTGCAATTGGCATTAGACATTTTAAATGATTTATTTTTAACTATAAATTTGGATATCTCACCGTTAAAAAGTAAAATATGCACCTTTTCAAGAAGGCGTCGACAACATAACACTAGTCTAAAAATTAAAGATGTTGCTTTGGAAGTAGTAGATAGCGTAAAATACCTTGGAATGTGGCTGGATCGATCACTGCGGTGGAATAAACATATAAAGGAAACATCTGCAAAAGTATTAAAATTTTTAAATGTATATAAAGTTTTATCAGGTTCGGGCTGGGGTGTCCACCCTAAACATTTACGGAACCTCTATATTAGTATTATAAGAAGTCGGTTAGATTATGCGAGCTTTTTGTATGATAACAGTAGTAAGACTAATTTAATTAAGTTAGAAAAGATTCAAAATCAGTCAATGAGAATTATAGGAGGTTATATAAAAAGCACCCCTATTCACGTAATGGAAAGCGATCTCAGCTTATGCCCATTACATTTAAGAAGACGCTACCTTGCAGGCAAATTCTGGTTAAAAAATAAATCCGTGTTAAATAACTCTTCCATTAACCTTTTGGTGAGCTTAATATTGCCACCTAAGAAATTTTCCGAGGGAATAGGTGACTACTTACATATTATGTATTTTGCACTTTCCACAATGAAATCAACGAAAACATACATTTCATAATGACATCAAACAAAAGCATTTATCTGACAGCACGTGAAACCTAGTAGAGCTACGCTGCAGCTATATCATGGCGGCACGAATGGGTCGGCTCAACCGGGGAAAACTACGCTCTCACAGAATACCAGCGTAAAATAGCAGCTTGATGCTGCTGTGTTTCGTATGGCGTAGAGAACCGTTTTACTGAAATCGAGGCAATCCATCTTAGTCCTCAGGGGTGAGGTTAAATGTAGAGATCTATGGGCCACAGCATCCACTTACCATCAGGTGGACTGTGTGCTTGTTTGTCACCCTAATTCCAAAAAAAAAACAATAAATAATAATTATAATATATTAACTGACAGGGAAATTTCTTAAATATACGCGAACACTACACATTGAATAAAACTAATTTTACCCCTGTGACCATGGGTGCTGTAAAGCACCCGAAACGTCGGTAATTAAAAATAAGTAAAAGTAGTTAATTAAACGCGATAAAATCCGTAAAATAAAGGTTTTATTCAAAGGGAAATGTCATTTAAAAAATGTTTGTTTTTTAGATTTTTGTCAAGATGATATCATCAACACATTTATGGCCGTGCAACGGCGCTAGAATCAACTAACCTTTACTTTACTATCGGATGTGGTAAGAGGCGACAGAAGAACTAAAACAGAGATAGCCAGCAGTATGTTCTTGATAACAACACAATGGGTGCGTTTGGCAGAAAAAAGCGCTAGCAAGCGCTTGTAAGCAAAATGGCGATCGTAAGCGGTAAGCGCTGTCAAATCGTAAGTAGCTATTTTCCTCCAGGACACGATGTTAGTTTTAACCGGGGAACCTAACCTAATTTAAATATATGTTTGTAAAGTAATCATATTAAAAACTTACCAATCATGAATTTTTAATAACAGGTATATGTTTATTCATGTCATTTTATTACTTAAAACTAATATTGCACAAAACAACTTATAAACTCTACTTCAAAACAAACAAATTAAATAAGCAAAATAGCGGATTGTGTCACGCTACTGAAGTAACAATCGTGTCCTGACCGAAACTATTTCAGCACTTGTAAGCGCTTGCTAGCGCTTTTTTCTGCCAAACGCACCCAAAAATAAGCGAATACTTCAAGTGATTTTTTTATTATTTTACAAAAAAATCACATTTTGATTTTATAACTTTCTTGCATTGTCTCTCTGTCAATATTCAAAATTTTAAGTTACCAGATCTTCAGGAAGTTACTTTAAAATCGATTAAGCTAAATTCCTACCGGAACGACTGAAAAACAAGAAAGTGACTTATTGAAAACGTGGTAAAAATAAACTTCATAAGTAATATTCAATTAATAGAGATTTAACAAAGAAGTAAATAATAAACAAAATTAAAAAATCGTAATTATAATTTAAGCAGTAGGAACAATAATACAAAAAGGCTTTTAAAAAAGAATACGATAAAAATCAGTAAAGTGAGAGCTGTACTTGCACAATGAGTGTTGCCTATTATTAGTGTTTCATCTTAATTATTACTGGTTAAAGTTACAGTACAATAATACAAAAAGGCTTTTAAAAAAGAATACGATAAAAATCAGTAAAGTGAGAGCTGTACTTGCACAATGAGTGTTGCCTATTATTAGTGTTTCATCTTAATTATTACTGGTTAAAGTTACAGTACAATAATACAAAAAGGCTTTTAAAAAAGAATACGATAAAAATCAGTAAAGTGAGAGCTGTACTTGCACAATGAGTGTTGCCTATTATTAGTGTTTCATCTTAATTATTACTGGTTAAAGTTACAGTACAATAATACAAAAAGGCTTTTAAAAAAGAATACGATAAAAATCAGTAAAGTGAGAGCTGTACTTGCACAATGAGTGTTGCCTATTATTAGTGTTTCATCTTAATTATTACTGGTTAAAGTTACAGTACAATAATACAAAAAAGGCTTTTAAAAAAGAATACGATAAAAATCAGTAAAGTGAGAGCTGTACTTGCACAATGAGTGTTGCCTATCATTAGTGTTTCATCTTAATTATTACTGGTTAAAGTTACAGTCTGTATACGTCACGCTGCTGGGCACAGGCCTTCCCTCATTTTTGAAAGGATTTTAGGGCAAGTAAGTGTCCGCCGCGCTGCCCCAATGCGTGTTGGCGAACTTCACGTGTTTTCGATTTTTTTTCGTAGAGAGAGCCGTGGCTCAGATGGTTAGCGTTCGCTGTAAATTTCACAGTACGCCAGCAAACCGGGTTGACGCAATGAATTTGTTAATTGCAATTTTAAGTGCTGATTACCACTTGCTCGGCGGTGAAGGAAAACATCGTGAGGAAACCTGCATGTCTGAGAAATTATTACTGGTTAATAGAATTGTATCAATAGTTATTATACTTAGTAATTTTTCATCAATGTAGTAAATTTCATGACAACCACACTAGGATTTTCTACTGTATCGTGGAGGCAATTTACAAACATAAATTGCACAAGGACAAACATCAAGACAAGGAACAATTACTTGTAGACCATACAAATACTTATTCCGTGTGGGATTCGAACCCGCGGCCCTTAACGCCGTAACTCATTGCAAACCCACTGCGCCATGGAGCCATTGCGTAATTACTACGAGCACAATTAATAAAAATTTATTTACGTGTTTAGTGCCGTGTTACGGCTACATATATTGTGGCATGAATGGGTTGACACTACTGGGGTGGGACAATCTCACAGAATACCAGCGTAAAATAGCGGTTTAATATTGCTGTGTTTCGTATGGTGAGTGTAGAGAACCGGAGACCCTTTTTACTGGAAACAAGGTGTTCAATCTTAGTCTTCACGGGTGACAACGAATCTGAATTTTCATTATTATTCGGGGTTAGATGTACTAGGCTGCACTAAAAGTATCGGGAATGGAATATTTCCACTGATTCTGTCATATTAAAATCTTTTTAATTGAAAACTCCTTGGTGTTAAAAATCGAATACCATTTATTTATTTAAAAAAAAGATTCTCGATCCTGTCACAAGGTTTTGTCAAACTTGTTTAGTCGTTGAGAAAATGGAATTGACTCGAGAAAATTCAAGAGCGATGATTTATTATGACTTTCGAAGTGGTTTAACACAAAAACAGTGTGTTGACCGGATGATTTCTGCATTTGGTGATGAAGCCCCATCCAAAACCACAATTTATCGCTGGTTTGCTGAATTTCAACGTGGACGTGTCAAGCTCAGTGATGATCCCCGTCAAGGTCGTCCAAAAACTGCAGTCACCCAAGAAAATGTTTGTTGATGCTGTACGTAAGCTATTTGAGGAAGATCGACATGTGACATACCGCAAAATTCAAGCAACTTTAGACATTGGCATGAGTCAAATACAAATAATCTTGCATAACAATTAGGTGTAAAAAAGTTGTTTTCCCGATGGATACCGCATTCGCTCTGTGAAGAGCAAAAAAGCGGCTCGCGTTACTTGGTGCGTCAGAAC